AAAAGTAAAATTGATTTTTTGAAAAATGACCTACAACAGATATATGAATTTTTACGTTACTTTAGGTTCACGCTATATATAAAAAAATTCTTACTAAATTTTAATTCTTATTTTAGTTTAAAATGTTACAATTTTTACTTTTCTTATTAATTATTGTTGGTAAACGTAAAAAAGACGTAAAATAGCTAGAGTTTTTATAAGGATTACTTAACTATTCCTATGAATAGTTAATTATTCACAATAATAGGCAACGCCGGTTATATTTCCTGTCAATTTAAATTTCATTTAAAATAGTTATCAGTTAGAATATACATCTTAAATTTCATGTATAATTCATGCTCGTGAAATACTGAAAATAACATGCCGGCAAAAACAAAATTAAAAGTATTGTATACGCAAACGTCACAACAAAAAACACTTTATGTCTATATGTCACAAATAAAAGTTTTACCTTTTAGCCATGGAGTAAAAATTCAATTTTTGCGCCTATACGCTTTTACTTTTACCATGACCTCACTACATTCGGCAAAATAAACTATAATTTTTGCTCTTAATAATGTAATATACTATTTTTACTAATCAAGGAAGCAATAAAAATGATATAGCATTAAGAAAATAATAGAGAAAAAGATTCAAAACCAATAAAAGAAAAAAAATCAAAATTTATTATAATTTTAGGGTTTAAAAGTTGTTATTTATTACACAAGACGATAAAATTGAATTTTATCTTTGAGTGCAATTTAGCGTCGAGGCGTCAGCCAAAAATTCAACAATAAAATCTAATGTTAAAGATCGTTAGTAACTAACAATCGCAGATATACAACAATGGATGTATTTTTTATCATCTAGACGACAAAATTTTATTTTAACATGAAGAAAAGAGTAGATAAAATTCAATTTTAGCATAGAGGATTCAATAAAACCTTTTATTATAATTTATTAGAGAAATGATTAAAATTATAAACAATAAATAAAACAAAATAATAATAATAGAAGAAAATCAAGATAAAAAAGTCGTTAACTGACAAACTGGACTAAAAAGTAGAATTTCCTAACTTTAGACGTAATCAAAAGTTATTAGATTTTTGTGGTTAGGTAGTATTTTCTAAAAAACTCTAAGTAACAAAAACATATTT